ATTACTTTAGCATAAAATTTAAACTCCATACCATGACCCAGGAGGTTTTGCATGATCTTCTTTTCAGCCCCCTTCATATGTTTCTCCTTGCACATGGTGCTACTGCCTTCTTGGTCTTTTGGTTACTGCAGTGTTCTTTCATGCTTTTGTGCTTTTGTGCATGCTGTTTTCTGCTTGAAATGCTCTTCCCCTCTATTCTTCTTATCCTTAGCTTTCTGGGTAAGTGTCATTTAAAGAGGTTTTTTTTACCTAATATTTAAGCCGTATGTCTCTCATTCACACCACTTGTTTGGTTCTTTTGTGTGGTACCCACTTTATGATTTTTTGTCACATTTTTAAAATAAATACTGATTTTCAGAAAAGGAAGGGATAGAAACATCAGTGATGAGAATCATTGATTATCTCCTGCACGACCCTGCTAGGTAGGAATTGAGCCCACAAACTGGGCATGGACCCTGACCAGAATCGAACCATGACCTCCTGGTTCATAGGTGGATGCTCCAACCATCGTGCCACACAGTCCAGGCTGTCATATTTTTTATTGGTTAAATTCTGCCCCAACTGGAATATAAGTATCAGCAAAGCATGAACTTACGCTTTATTGTGTGTGGTTATACTCCATTGTCTAGGAGAGTACTTGACCATATTTATTCAATGAATGAATGTTCAGAAGAGTAACAGAGTAGAAGGGACCCTAAGAGTACCCAACAGAGCATCCTTAAATTCCAGCTTTGAACTAATGAAGATGACCTGAGTTGTCATATAAGAATTATAAAATAAATGCAATCCAGAAATAAGAGTAAGGAAATGAGTATATTTAAAAGGAAAATGAGTATTAGAAAATGTAAGGGTCTTAAAATATTTTATTATTCCAGGATTTTAAATGTAATCTAACTTTTCTTATATTATGAGCTAAACAACTAAGTTTAGTCTCTAAATTGAATTATTGCTTAAGTGTTTTTCTAAGTGTTATGTAGTCAGTTCTCATCATTTGTGTATTCTATATTTGTGATTTGCTTACTTATTAGTTTATTTGTAAAATGTATTCATTGAAGTACCACAAAATCCATAGCTGTGATACTTTGGAGGTATTGTAGTTCACAGACATGCAAAGTGGGAAAATTTTGAATGGCCCTGTGCCCAAGTTCCCAGCAAGTGAGGTCTTACTGTTTCCACTCTCATATTTTAAACATGTTCTTTTTGTCCTACAAATATGTCCTTTTTGTAGTCTATTTAGTGCCACATTTTTCATTTTTGCTTTTTGTTGATGTCTTTACTATTAAAAATGGCTTCCAAGCATAGTACTGAAATGCCATTTAGTGTTCCCAAGCAGAAGAAAGCTATGATGTGTGCTATGGAGAAAATTTGCTACAAATATTCATAGAACTCAGGAAAATACAATACTTATGATTACAATTATTAGGTAAGCTTTGCTGAGGCATGAGTTATATCTCTCTTGGCTGTGAACTTAATGAATTAACAATATATAACATAAACACACATACAATATTATGTATTGACTAGAGGCCCCTTGCATGAAATTCATGCACTGCAGGGCAGGGATCCCTGCACCCTCTCCATCCAGGACCCTTCTGGGGATGTCCTTCTCATAATCCGGGACTGCTGGCTCCCAGTTGTTCACCTGCCTGCCTGCCTGGACTTCAGAAGAAATTTCAGGAAGTGCCTACTAACCCATGTTAATTATAGTTTAGGGACTTTTTGGTTAGAATATATGTTTTGTTTTAAAATCTTTAAAAGGAGAAATGAATTCATTTTGGTTCAGTGATCCTTTTTGGGCACTTACTGCCAGTAACTGTACATAAAATCTTCACTCCAAGAATTTTTCAGTCAGTGAGATATTCCATTTTAACCCAAATGATCTGATTAAATTTTTTCACTAACTGTAGTTAGCAAAGACAAAATCCTCTGTAAGAATACCCAGGCTTGAGATGTCCGCTGCAAGTTCTTGGCAAACCCAGGCTACCCTACTTCTGACAACCAGCTATTGGCTACAAATAAGTGCATTTTACAACCCCCTCGGATTAAGTAGTTTGTTAAAATGACTAGAGCTTAGTAAAGTGTTGTAGTTATGATTATAGTTCTATTGTACTATAGTATTACAGTTCATATAGTACTAGAGGCCTAGTGCATGGATTAGTGCATGGGGGGGGGGTAGGGAGGTCCCCTTAGACCTGTGCCCCCTCACAATCCAGGACCCCTTGGATATAGTGCCCCAAGCCGCAGGCAGCCAGGGAGGAGCCATTCGTGCTGCCGTGGAGTAGGGAGAGGCTCCTGCCACTGCAGCTGAACTCACCAGCCCGGAGCCCAGCTTCTGGCTGAGTGGTGCTCCCCCTGTGGGAGCGCACTGACCACCAGGGGGCAGCTCCTGCATTGAGCATCTGCCCCTTGGTGGTCAGTGTGCGTCATAGCGACTGGTTGGCCGGTCGTTTGGTTGCTTAGGCTTTTATATATATATATATATATATATATATATATATATATATAGATAGATAGATATAGATATAGATATAGATATAGATATAGATATAGATATAGATATAGATATATAGATATAGATAGATTGATTACATTTGGGAAAGAGCCAGGGTATGTCACCCTCCTGGCACATCATGATGTTGACTTACCAGGAAACTCCTCTGAACTTCAGCTTCTAAAGATTTTGTGATGTTTGATTGTAGAGGTATGATTGGTCACATAGGTATCAACCTCATACTTGAAGTTAAATCTCTAGCTACCTTTCTTCTCCAAGGCTGCTATTTCTGGTAGTAAATGGCCTCCAACCTGAAGCTGTTATGCAACTGTGAGTCCCCTCATTGGCATAACATAGACACCCCCTATTACTAAGGAAATTCCAAGGGCTTTTTAAAAACTTTTCATTAATCTCCAGAGAAAGAGAAAAATGTGGATAGGTGAGCAAAACATTGATCAGCTGCCTCCTGCATTGTCCTCACTGGAGATTAGGCCTCCAACCCTTTGGTGCGCAGAGGATGCCCAACTATCTGAACCACAGTGACCCCAAGGGCTTTTGAAGCTTTGTGCCAAGAACTGGGGACAGTAATCAGATATATTCTTTATTTTATCACAGGGAGACTGCCTTATAAACAGTAAAAGGTAAAAGTGGAGTTTGCCAGATAGGTACATAGGTGTTTATAAGTAGAACCATAAATGCCAAAATACCAGGAATGAAACACTGTGAAATACATTGTCATTTAGTCTAGATAGATTGTCATGTTCAAAAGGGGAATTGTTGAAGGTGGATCCAGTGAAGTAGCAGGTAACGAAATGCTGTGGAACAGAAGGTCACAAAACCTAAACATATTTGGGCCTTATGTGTTTTAATTTCAATGGAAAATTTCCAACATATACAAAGAGTAAACAATAATATAATGACTATATAATATCATGAGCTCCTATGTACTCATCACAATTAATAGCTGGTTGTCAGTTTTTTCATCTCTTCTCTCCTCTAAACATATTATTTGTAGCAAATATTACTTCATTCATAGATATTTCAGTATACATTTCTAAAATATATGAGCTTTTTAAATATTACTCTTATCGCATTATTACACCTAAAAAATTTCTAACATTAAATTTCCAGTCATTATTCAAATTGTCAGTTCTGCAGTGTTTTTAAAAACAGCAAGTCAATTGCTAATATTTTTTAAATTGGCATATTTCACTTTAAAAATCTAGATTTTTTTGTAATTGAAAAATTGCAAGCTCTAGCAAAACTGTTTCTCTTTTATGACAATAGGACCTTGGGTAGAGTCCTTGTCTAGCTGTTTTACTCACTGCTTCACCCTGTGAAGAGTCCTAGAAAGGATTTAAACAGGCATATTTCTTGGTAAGATTTGCATTATGGAAAAATAACTAAAGGTAGGATCAGAATGTGCTCAGGAGAGTATCCAGAGAGACAGTACAGGGCAGACAAGAAGACACCATCTGATGGGATCCACAGTGTGTATGATCATACCAGCCGGGCCTTCTGGTTCTCCACCAGTGTGGCGACAGTGGTAACCCCTGCTCAAGGACAGGTGGCTTCTTGGTGGTGACAGCCCCTTTGCTGGCAGCTTTCTTCTCAGCCCTTGCCAACAGTCTCTGCTGCTTCTCTCGCTTTGTCTCTGGTCTGTACTTGTGAGCCAGTTTTAGCAGTTGAGTAGCTGTTTGGTGGTCCAGGGCCTGAGTGAATTGGTTAATGGCAGAAAGCACTTTTAGACCCTTAACAGAGAATAGCCTTTTGTCCCTGCAGCCGAGTGTAGTGGGGCCATGTGACAAAGCAGTTGCGATCCCTTTGTAGCTGGATGTCCTTCTACTGCCAACACTCTTTGAGTCTTTTCCCAATCCAGGATTTACCACCTTCTTGGCCTCCTGCTTCATGACAGGAGGGGCTGGCACAACCTTCCTCCCCTTAGCCTTCTTTCCTTTCGGATCTTGGGTGGGGGGTGGAGAGAGAAAGTGTAAAGAATAACAGCGATTTACTCTAATTTCTATACACATAAAATTTGATATTTCTCCAACTAAATTAAAGGAAGGAAAGCAAGCAAAGACCACTTGTGTTTTGGGGAGCACTCAAAGGACTCTCTTTTTTTTTTCAGTTCCTTTTGTGTAAATGAAGGGGTGGGTAGAGAAGTCTAATGTGCTGCTGCAGCTTGCCTGCAGTTTACTCCATTTACTTTTAATAGTAAGCCTGTATCATCTTAATGTATGTTAATACATTGTTGTAAGAAACATACCAACAAACAACACTTCCGGGTCTGGCATCTATCTAGTAAGTGCTTGGCTTTGCTAGATTTGAATCTAAATAAATCCTTTTAAGGCTTAAGCAGTAGTATCCGTTAGTATCAGATTAGAGTTTTTACTTGATACTCTAATAGAAAACTCTCCACAAATAGAAAACTCAGTAAATATTTATAGAACAAATGAATAATTCTGGTGATTTTCATTACTTTATTTAAAAGGATTCCTCTTTTTCTTAGTTTAAGGTGGTATCAACATCCTACAGAAGAAGAATTAAGAATACTTGCAGGGAAGCAGCAAAAAGGGAAAAGCAAAAAGGATAGGTAAGTTATATTGTTGAATTTGTAAATATTTGACACAGTTTATGTAAGTACATTTTTGTACATTGGTTAAAGGAACATTTACTAATTACACCGTAAACAGTTTATAAGCTTGAGCTCAAAGTCCATGATCTAAAATATTGACTCACCCTCTAAGAAATACCTTTTATAATAATCTAATATGTAAGGACAAAAGTGATTATTATACTTAAGAATAGTCAACTATATTTTTTGTGTTTCAGTAATGAAAACAAATAGCCATCATATTAAAATTCAGTGTTGGGATTGATGGGGAAGACTCATAATCCATGTCTTTATATAAGTCAGTTAAAGATAGCAGTTAGGTCAAAACCGGTTTGGCTCAGTGGATAGAGCGTCAGCCTGCAGACTGAAGGGTCCCATGTTCAATTCCGGTCAAGGGCATGTACCTTGGTTGCGAGCACATCCCCTGTGGGGGGTGTGCAGGAGGTGGCTAATTAATGTTTCTCTCTCATCGATATTTCTGGCTCTCTATCCCTCTCCCTCCCTTTCTGTAAAAAATAAATAAATAAAACATATTTAAAAAAATAAAATAAAATAAAAATAAAGATACCAGTTTGGATGCCTTCCCATCTTTTGCTACCACTCTGTTGATATTGGGAAATTCATATGCTTTTGACTTCTGTTTCCTCATTTTTTACATTAAAGAGTAGATAAGATAACTTATTAGGTGCCATTAAGCTGCTGAATTATTATTTTGATGTTTAAAGTTTATAAAGAAAAATCAACCTGAATGGACCACAGCAGCCTCATCTGTGAAATAGAAGGACCAAACTAATTTTGAAGAATCCTTTCAGCTTTAGTATTTTATATTTCTATTTAAATAGCATTCTCAATGAAAGTGCTTGTTAATTAGTCTTTCTGAATGGGCCTTAGTTTTAGATTCCTCAGTTGGGGATGGGGAAGACTTCTTAGGACTTGAAATTGTTATTCTAATACTATAAAATGTCAATGAGAACATTTTAAAAATTGCAAAAAAATTTATTTATTATTAATGTTTTAAATATATCTTTATTGATTTTAGAGAGAAAGGAAGGGAGAGAGATAGAGAAAGATACATTGATTGGCTGCTTCCTGCATGCCCCCCACCAGGGATCAAGCCCACAACCCCAGTCATGTGCACTAACCAGGAATCAAATTGGGGACCTTTTGGTTCATGGGTCGATATTCAACCACTGAGCTATACTAGCTGGGCTAAAAATTCTTTAAACATGAATTACAAATAAACCTTGAGGCTCTTTAGAAGATTAAGTGTAAACCCTCCTTCTCTGAATTCCAAGTTATTTTTAATTTATTTTAATTTATTTATTTTTTAAATATATATTTTATTGATTTTTTTACAGAGAGCAAGGGAGAGGGATAGAGTTAGAAACATCGATGAGAGAGAAACATTGACCAGCTGCCTCCTGCACACACCCCACTGGGGATATGCCCGCAACCAAGGTACATGCCCTTGACCAGAATCGAACCCGGGACCTTTCAGTCTGCAGGTCGACGCTCTATCCACTGAACCAAACCGGTTTCGGCTATTTTTTTTTTTTTTTTTTTTTTCTGCTTAGTATTATAATTGCCAAAGAATTTTTAAAATTTTTAAATTTTTAAGTTTAACTTAATCTACACATTCCTGAATATATGCTATTATTTTAATTTATATTGTACCTAATGAGTAAGTTGTTGATCAGAGATGTTAAGTGAGTTGAGCAAGTTCCTATAACCTTACTAAGAATCAGGATTTTAATCCAGGTTATTTTAGTTTCTACATTTCTTTTTTAAAAATTCTTTATTGTTGAAAGTGTTATATATGTCCCTTTTCATCTCGTTATCATCTCCCAGCCTGCCACACTCTACATTTATTTTTAACTGTTCCACCTTTATCTATTCATAGCTACCATGTTCAATATTTGTAAAATTTAATTATGTAATATAGTATTCATTTTTCAAACATTTAATTCTTACTCTATGCCTATATTCAATAATTTTATTGTTTTTACAGTAGTTTTTGTATGTTAAAATGCTTTACATTTACAAAAAAGTACACCAAATGACACTTTGTTTCTAGCAGTAATAATTATTTAATTTATTGACATAAATTAATATTTTTACTGAGATTTTCTCAGTTTATACTTAGTTGAGAATAAATGCAAAATTGTTTCTTGGTATTATAATTAATGTTATTGAAACTTAGTTTATTACTTTAAAAAAATATATATATATATATATATATATACCTTTAAAAATTAAATTTGGGAATAATACACATGCGTGCACCTGAAGATTTCTGTGGTTTCCTCCTTTTGTGATTCTTAGTAAAAGCAACCTAGTTGACTTTTCATGTTTCTCAATTTCTCGTGCATCTAAGTCTTAATATATTTCTATAGCTCTGACATGTTTATAGCTACAGATCTGCTTATATGTCTGTGTGTGTATATATATGTATAATTACAAAGAGAATGAATTTTGTCTTCAATTGCTTTTGCTTTGTCCCTAAAAAAGATGTTAGGTTGTCTTTAAATCTCCAGGAGATTGTAAGAGAAATGGGGTGAAATGCTAAACTAGCAATTAAGATTTTATTTTCATCACTAATGTGCCTTTTCCTGACAATCTGTATTTTCACATATAATAATTTACATCCATATTTTATAGTCCCCCTTTTAAAAACTTATTTTGAGTACCTTACCTTCATTTTGATGACTTATTAAAAATTCTTCTTTTTCACTGAAATTTCAAACTGCATTTGTAATTGGTTTGATACAAAACTTGGGTAGGTAACTTTTTTTTGTTTGTTTCACTTGCCTGATTTTTATAGGAAATATAATGGACACATTGAAAGTAAACCACTAACCATTCCAAAAGATATTGACCTTCATCTAGAAACAAAGTCAGTTACAGAAGTGGATACCTTTGGTAAGGAAAATCTCGGGTAAAGTGTTCTGTAAATCTCAGGTTTATATTATGCTAGTAAAATACTTTTATGTATCTGTTGTGGCTAGACTTTTTGTATTTTTTTCTAATCATTAAGTTAATTATTCAGAATATGAAATCTTTCTCAGAACTTAGAAGCTCAAAATGACTTCATTTGAATTGAATTTCACTTTTCACCTAACTTATAGTAAGCATTACTTTCCCATTTTTTAGCTGAGGCTGACTTTATACAAGTTTGTTACACATTGTTCATGCTGAGATCAGTGTTCATTATTTCGAATTCTAGACTTTTTGCCATCTATCCTAGTCTGTTTATTATAATGTGGCTTGCAGAAATGCATTTGTATATTTATATTGAATTATCTATATTTGCAGTAATTCAACTTTATGCTCACATTTAGTAGAAAAGAGATTTTAGAATAATAAACTGGATTAGGAATAGAACACTTTACTTCTTCAAATTTACTTTTTACCCATTGGGTATATCTGAATAAGTCATTCAGTTTTTTTCCCATGTATGTCAAGTATATATCCTACATAATATTAATAAAAGTCTAATATGCAAATTGTTCGACTGGGTGTTTGACTGCTTGCTATGACATGAGCTGACCACTAGGGGCGGCACGGGACATGGTGGGCATTGGCAAGGTTTGGCGCTGGCAGTGGAGGCTCTGCTGGCCCCCATGGGCCCCAACTAGAGTGGGACTGTGGTGGGATGGTGGAGCAGGTGAGAGTGAGGTGCCAGGCCAAGGCAGGTGTGAGGGGGGCCGGGGGGGTCCTGACTCCCAGGCACTGAGGAAGCTGGGTTGGGGGTCCTGATCAATTGTCCTGCAGGCAGGATGGTGGAGCAGGTAAGGGGGTGGTGGTAGGCCAAGGCAGGGTGCCAGGCAGGGTTGTGTGATCTGGGGTCCGATCCCACAGGCCACCATGAGGAACCCCACTCGTGCATGAATTCATGCACCGGGCCTCTAGTAATTATACTATATAATAACTATAGTGATATTAAATTTAAAATGAAATTATTTCAATCCTAGAAGAGAAAGTCGTCTAATGTGATAATCAAAACACTGACTTTCAAACCTGACTGTACCTCAGAATCACTTGAGCAGCTCTTTAAAAATAAAGAATTCTCATATCTACAGTTAGAGATTTAGTAAATATAAAGTGGGTCATGGGAATTTGTATTTTTTTTTTTTTAATGTTCAAAGTGGTTTTGATTTTTGAGCAGGTTTGAGAAGTAGTGAGGAGTTAAAATAATGTGTTTGGAATTTTTTATATGTTTTTTATTGATTTCAGAGAGGAAGGGAGAGGGAGAAAGAAAAACATCAATGATGAGAAAGAATCATTGATCTGCTTTCTGCACACCCCCTACTAGGAATTTGAGCCCGCAATCCAGGCATGTGCCCTGACCAGGAATTAAACTGTGACCTCCTGGCTCATTGGTCAGTGCTCAGCTGCTGAGCCATACCAGCTGGACAACCTGTATTTTTTTAAAAAATATATTTTTTGGTAGTGTTGAATAAAAATGTCATTATATAATTTGGCCCTGCTTCTTATATTAAATCTTACCATCCCAGAAAAACCTTCAGATTCATCTAGCATCTATGAAATATAAAATTACTTTGTGATTTAAAATGGCTTCAATATATTTGAAAGTAAATTCTACATCTACAAAGATTTTATGTCTATATGTGAAAGGGTGTCCTAGGACCCAAAAATGTCAGTGAAAAATAATTTAAGACAGTTGTCTAGTAGCATGAAGACTGGTTATGCCATCCTTTTTTCTTCTGTACTATTTTTCATGCATAATTTAAAACATTTAAAAGCACTTTGGCTTCTTTTAATAATTGTCACATTAGTTTTACTATCTTGTGTGTATCCTTACTTATATAAAATGTTCATGCACATGTATAAATGCAAGAATATATATGCATATCCCGGTTTCTAGTACAGACTTTATCACTTTTACCAATAACTAACATTATCAAATACTTATAAACTAATTAGCTTTAATAACAGCTTAAAATTCCATATTTATCAGCCATTGTTATAAGTGCTTTACCTATATTAACTCATCCTCATTAATACCCTTACATTCTGTGAGGTATATATTACCAAAGTTAAAAAAAAAACAACACATTAAAAAACCCATCATTATACAGAGGTTAAATAACTTGGACCGGATTACACACTGAATGTGGCAGAAACAGTGAGAACTAGGTTATTAATGAACTTAAAAATTGAAATTAGGGTAATGGGCTTCAACACACAGTTTTATCAGTGATTTGTTTACTTATACAGTTTCCAGAACTAATTGCAAATAATACTAGTTTAACAACTGGCCACAGAATATCAAGAGCATTTCACTTCATCAATATAACAAGGGAGATGTTTTATTTATGTTTATATTGATATATTTATTTGTGAATGCATGTTTGTGTGTGTAGGTAAAAGTAGAAAGTTTTTTTTTACCTGAACTTTAGGTACTCAAGAGCTTAATGGAAATTACTGGACTTGATACGCCCCTAAATTTTCTTTCGATTTCAATATCATATGAAAAGGTGAGGTATATAATTATATTATTGGATACAAAAAGAAGAATATAATACTTGGATTAAATAGATAGTAAAAAATATGCATAATTTGTACTTTTGCTCAATGTATATCTTATTGATACCTGAATAACTAAAAAGTATCTCTCAATTTGTGTTATATATTCATTATAAGTTCCTCTTAAGGAGCATAAGATCATTTGAATGTCACTTGGCTGTTTGCTGTTAAGTTCCCTGGAGGTAACCTTGTGTGCGTGTGGGCAGGCATGGAGAATTAGAACACTTACTTCAGTTTTTGTTAATAAAAATTGACAACAGATAACTGTCTGTCTGTTTCATCCATTTCCTTGTCCTTCTTCCAGAAAGTAATTCAGAAGGCTTAACTGCGTGACTTTAGAGAGGGAAAGAGGGCAGGAATTCTGCAACCACTTTAGGGTAGATTTTTTATACTGATGTTCAGAATATAAACATCACACTAAAAAAAACAAAAAACCTAAAGCAATTAAAGTAACTTGAACCAAATAAAAAATTTACTCAATCATAAAAGGATTTGTAATTTTTGCTATTACGTGATAGAGATGATGTAAGTTTGCTTAGTTTGACTTTGATATTTTAAATAAGTCTTACTTTGAATGCTATTTTTGAAATACTTTTTCTATAAAAGTATAATTTTAAAATAGCCTCAGGTATTACATTTTATAACTAAAAATTTTCCAAAGCAATTTAAGTCATTTTATTATCTTCCAGTGAGTACATACAGACTAATGTTTATGTACGTGCTTTATTTCCACATTTTTAGGAGGCCTTCTATAAAATGTTGTTGATATTTTGGACTATATTCTGACAGAAGCAAACTAGAATATTTGAAATGAAAAGGGAGAAGGAATAATATATACTTTCAGAGAATGCTAATTTTAATATAAACCCTTAAGAATGGAATAGTTTGTTGAAAGTGTGTGGTTTTATGAAAAATTGACAGGCATTTCATCAGCTTTTCTTACAGGAGCGGATAACTTATTAAAAAGTAGATTAATTTATTATTTTAACCTGCAGTAACTCAAAATTACTAATCCTCTATTAGTGCAATTAATAGCTATAACATAAAGTTTAGCATTCCTCATAGAAATTAATATAAGTAAAGCTGTAGTAGTCTACATTAGATTGTATTCTAAAGCAGTGATTTTCAAATAGTGTGCTGTAAGAATTTTTAAAACATGCCATACCTATTTAGTCTGGGGCACTGACCTCTTTTCCCTTAGATTGTCAAATGAGGAAATAACAACAGCCAACATGACAATAGCTGTCCGATGTGAATGAATCAAAATTATATATATATTTTTTGTCAGATGAGAAAAAATACATATTTTTTGATGTGCTGCAGAATTTTAGTAATTAGTTTATATGTGCCATGAGATGAAAAAGGTTGAAAATCACTGTTCTAAAATATAGATTAGATTCTTTATAAGTAAGTTTGATTTATAACTTCTGTAAAATAGAGCTAATCAGCTAAGAAAATACCAACTCATTTTACAATCATATTTTTAACAATTTAAATAATTTTTTGTAATCATTTCAGGTTTATTTTAATTTCATGTAGGTGGTATTAAAATTTAGTTTTGGATACCAACCTTCTTGATCTCTTTTTAGATTCTCAAATTTGTAATCCTTACATTGCAAAACACCAAATAGAATAAAGTCTAGTATGATTATAGTTAATTATATTGTACATAAACCCTTTCTAAGCTGTTTATGAAAGTTTAAGTAAAAATTATTTTTTTAACCTTTATTTTTCAGCGTTGCATTACTTTCCAGAGTATCAGTGGCTGGTGGATTTCACTGTGGCTGCTACAGTTGTGTATCTAGTAACTGAAGTCTACTACACTTTTATGAAGCCCACTCAGGAAATGAATATCAGCTTAGTCTGGTGCCTGCTTGTTTTGTCTTTTGCAATGTATCCTTCAAAACATAATTAATATCAACTTATGAATTTGTTTTCCTTTTGTAGCTAACACCATTAAATCTCATCTCATTTAAAAAATAATGTAGATCATTAGAGAAGTTTTCTTTGTTGAAATCCTCTTTATTTAATTGAAAAAATTCAAAATAGAGGTAAATGTTTAAAAAAAATTGAAATGCAAGAGAAGATGGCAGTTGCCTTTCCTTTTAGGATTTCTTCCATAAGTTTAAATGTTAAGTGATAATGGTATTCTTTAATTTTAGATACTATTGCACCTTTCTCCTTTTTTTCTTTCCTTCTGTTTCCAGAAAGTAAACAGACTTTTTGTGTTGTTAAATCAGTAGTCAGTTTTACTTACACCTATGAAAATATTAATAGCTAAGCATTGTAGTGTACTATCGATATTACCTCCCACACTGGTTGTCTAAGACTGGTTTTCTCATGTGTGTTTATGTTTTTGTTTTTATATATTTTGTAATTTTCTGGGAGATTTTCTCAACCTTCCCAGTGCTTTAACTTCCACTATAATTTTTAATTTTCAAGATCTTCTTTTGTTTCTCCTCCCCTACTTTATGGAATCCTATTTGTTTTATGATTACATTGTCTTGTGTCTATTTGAGATACTGAGAGATTTTTTAAAGATTTTCTTTATGCCAAGTATCTTTTCCCTCTAATTTGTTCCTGTTTGGTTTGGTTACTATCTTTCATGTTAAAGACTTCTTAGAGAGATCTGGTGACATTTGCTTGTTTAAGTGTGAGACACCAAAAGACTGAATGGAAGCTCTGAGCAAATGTGAAGCAATTTGTTAAATCACCTGGATCCATGGTCGACAAAGTGTGGCTCTTCCACAAAATACCATGGCCTGGATGAGTCTATTTTGAAGAAGAGGCATTAGAAGAAGTTTCAAAAGAAATTTCAGTCATTGTACTGTTAATATTTGGCTCTGTTGACTGAGTTTGACGACCACTGATCTGGATAGGCCAGAGATCCTCACCAAAGCATAAATCTCCAGACTTCTTTGAGGCGAGGAAATCTTAACTCATTACTTTTTTTAAAGTAATTACTTTTAGTAGTGCTTTTTTCCTAATACCACCAACAATACCCACATTCATTCACACTTTTACCCTGATCTGATCAGTTCCTCAATCCTTTCTGGGAGTTCTGCAAGTAAAATCAGATGGCATCTTGGCTTTCTGATTAAGCTTCTTCATTCTCTCTAGTCATTTTCCACTTATCTGCCAGCTTTCTAGATTCCAAAATTTTACTGCTTTTTTTTTCATTCATTCACTGTATTTATGTACTTAAAAACAGAAACATTCTTTTGCCATCACTTTGGTTTGGATTGGAGAGAGGACAAAAGTAAGCAGATGTGACTAGTCTGCTATTTTATCCATAGCTTTATATTGTCTCTTTGGTAAGATTCTCTGTTTTCTGTTGTTTGTTTGTTTTCAGAAACTCTTTGTTAGTCAGATGTTTGATTTCTTTGAATGATTCTTTAATTTTCTTATCTCCCCTTTTATTTTATCCTGTATTTTTTGTTTTTCTCTTAATTTTCTCTTTTAACCCCTCTGTTGAAATTTTTTGATAACTCTTATCTTTTTAATGATTAGGAGCTTTTTCTTTGAATGTTCCATTTCCATAGCACTCATGTGTCATGGATGTATAATATCTTTTTACTTCTAAGTGCTAGAGGCCAAGTGCACAAATTTGTGCACTGTGGGGGAAGGGGGTCCCCCTCAGCTCAGCCTGCACCCTCTCTAATCTGGGATCCCTCCTCTGCCAGCCTGATCAATGCCTAACTGCTCCCCTACCAGCCCGATTACCCTCCCCTGCAGGCCTGGTCGCTCCCACTGCCTTCCCCTGCCTGCCCGGTCACCTCTAACTGTCCTCCCTTCCCTTCAGGCCCAGTCACCCTGAGCTGCCCTCCTCTGCTGGCCTGATTGCCCACAACTCCCTTGCCCTGCTGGCCTGATTGCCCCTAACTGCCCTCCCCTGTTGGCCTGATCACCCACAACTGCCCTCCCCTGCCGGCCATCCTGTGGAGGCCATCTTGTGACCATATGGAGGGAGTCATCTTTGTGTGAGGGTGTGACGGTCAATTTGCATATTACCTTTTTATTATATAGGATATTAATATATTTAACATTTTAACTTGAGCCTTGCATTGTTTATTTTGAGTTCCCCTCTCTCCCTTTTTGTTTTAATCACACTTTTGTTAAAGAATAGAGGCCTGGCACACAACATTTGTGCACTGATGTGAGGGGCTCCCTCAGTTTAGCTTGCACTCTCTTATAATCCAGGACCCCTTAGGGATGTCTAAACTGGCAGACATTTCTCTCGAAATCTGGGACCGCTGGCTCCTAATCGCTCGCCTGCCTGATTGCCCCTAACCACTTGCATTTCTGCCTGATAGCCCCTAATCACTCTAGGTGCCTGCCTAATTGCCCCTAACCGCCTCTGCCTGCCTGTCTGATTGGCTCTTAACCGCCCTCCCCTGCCAGCTTGATTGCCTCTAACCACCTTCCCCTGCTGTCCTGATCGCCCCTAACCACTTCTGCCTTGGCCCCCACCACCACAGCTTCATCTAGAAGTTGTTCAGCTATCCAGTCTAATTAACACATTACGTTCTTATTATTATAGCTTCTTCTCAGATGGCTCATGATCTTTGAGTATTTATTTATATTCAAGAGGGTGGTATGAAAATATTGCAAGTTTTTTGTAAGTGGCGGGAGTTTATTGATTGGTGGAATTTTTATTGGATGAATTGGAGACCTGCTAGCAATCTTTTTTAAAAAAAAAAACTTTTTTTTAATTTATTGGTTTGAGAGAGAGAAATTTTGGTTCATTTTTTCGCTTAATTATGCATTCATTAGTTTATTCTTATATGTGCCTGACCAGGGATCGAACCAGCAACCTTGAGTTTAACTAGCTGAGCTACCCAGCCAGGCCTGACAGCATTCTTGGGAGGAACCTCTAAATATCAGTGTCTGCAGGTTGTTGAGCTTATCATTTTTTCCAGAAAATATTTGTGCATTTTCTTATCTTTGGGGGAATGTCTGACAGCCAGTGTTGTAGTAGCTGATTAGGGAAGAAGACTTAGAGACTCAGTATTCAGTATGCAGGCAGTAATTTAAATGTGAGTCTCTGTACTACCTTCCCTTGTTTTCAGCTCTTCATTGTTACCCCAAGTTCTGTCTAGTACTCCCAAGCTCAATCTTTTCTGGATTAACATTAGTTCTTCTGGATTCTGCCAGAATTGGGGAAGGACCATCATCTAAAGAAACTATGTAACTAGGTGAGACAAAAAATCTGAGAAGTCCAGATCAGCCAATCATTCTGTTTTCATCCATTCTGCAGCCTTGCTTTCAGAGGTACCCACTATGTCTGATTCTTAATTTCCTGGGTATATAATTGAATAAATTGTCTTTTTTACTAGGTTCCTCCTATTATAGATCCAGCTTAGCAAAGAAAGCTGAAACCTAAAAAAGTTATTGCTTGTCTATATACTTAGAGTCTTCCAAAATTTGTTGAAATCTCTTTTCTCTTGTCACCTTTTTTCCTATTCTTTGCTTTTGGGAATTTATACTCTCCTATCTATATGGTTCATTTAGTTAGAATTTGGGACTAAGCAGTTTAAATGCATGTCTTATATCTTTTATATTCAACCAGAGACTGCTAACCTGATTTAAAGCTGTAAGTGGATTTTATTTAAATTATATGATATGATTTGACATTCAGCAAATCTGTGCTATTTCTTTCTTGACTCTTTTGGATTGATTTAGGTATAATTTAGACCAAAGAGCCAGAGCAAAGCCTTAACAGTCAACATCTTCCCAAGTATATATTGTTCTGGGTAGAAATACTGGTTAAGCTGTTGTCAGTTGTGCTAATTTCAAGGCAAGTTAAAATTGGAGCATTTAAAATATTACTATTTAATTATATATGTGAAAATACCATTTAGTCTTATGATGTTTACATAGAAATGCATATTCTTGATACTCAGTTTTATTTAATGTATATTCAGCCCGTAATATCTACTTACCAAGAAATTAGGAAAAAATATACTTAATTGGTTATTCCAATTATTGTTTATGTGAATAAATTTCATCTTTCATTTCAGTGATGCCTAATGTGAGAGCAAAGGTCCCACACAATCTTCAGCACTGACCTGGCTCTGCTTAGTTTTAAGCCGTGCTCTTGTGAAAGGCACCAAACAATAGCATCCCTGCCAGAATCCAGTAGCTGCCTGTCTCTCCATCACAGAGATGACAGAAAAGGCTGAAGGGCTTTAGAATCCAGGCTATTTTCTGCCAACTTTGACCCTACATAAAGAGGTTAGGGAAGAAGGAAAGTAGAATCATGTCTATGCTTGGGTATGTGATTTTTCTTCCAACTTGTACCATGTGAGAGAATGACCTAGTGTCTTCCATGGCATGCAGAAAATCAGAATCAAATGCCAGATATCCAGATTAACACCAAGGAGGAGTCTGTTTATAGCCTATCTTTCATCTTAGTTATACCTTATCTGGTAAGCCTTTCATAGCCCATGAACACAGTCTAGCTGCAGTGACCCCTGTCTGGCTTCTCTTTACTTTCTTGTAGTATGTGCCTACTTATTAGTCAAACATATGTCTCCATTGATTACATAGGACAATAGCTCCACTTACTTGTAGAGTTCAGGTCAGATTCAGAAATTCTCTGTATAATATCCTTTGTTAAAGTGGTCCCCAAATCAGACATATATAACTTAAATAATTGGCCCACTTAAAAGTGATGGAGAAAGTATATTTTATTTTCATGATTATTCCCCTCCCTCATTTGTTGTATTCAACATACTTATATATTACAACAAAATTTTTACAAAATCCTGAAATCTCTAAAAATCATGAGAATGACTTTTTTAAATGTATAACCCTAAAATCTTAAACCCTGGAACATAAAACAGAGCCCCTCTTGTCATCAGCTCTGCTTTTTGCTTCAACTGATGCATCTT